TCATCCACTGGTTTGCACAATTAAACACCAGCCTTGATCTAGCTCTGCCTATACCTGCAAGCCCCCATAGGAAAAAAGAGGAAGATTAGTCTTCTAAATGACTTCCCATCTTTAGAAGTTGACCCTTTTTTCTTTCCTTGTGACCTTCATCAGTTGTCGCCCACATGTCTGAGCCATGCTAGTTCTTAAAACCTCTGGTTCCATATCCTTTCTGTAGCCAAAATCTTCCATTCCCTTCACTGTTTGTGAACTGCAGCAGATCTTCTAGAGTTTACAAGCTCTTCTAGCCAGGCGTCAGTCCATCATCTGTTTTTGTAAATAGTTTTACTGGGACACAGTCACACACATTTATTTGGCTATTGTCTATGGCTATTTTTGTACTATAGTGTCAGTGGAGTAATTGCAACAGGACCATAAAGCCTAAAATATTTACTGTCTGCCTCTTTACTGAAAAACAGTTTGCCAACTCCTGTTTTTGTATCTGCACCTATAAATTTATAAATCTGTATATGTTAACAGATTTTCTAGTAAGATGCATTTTCTACAGGGGACATTTACCTGGCTGCCTGAGATGACGTGGTTATGATTACTCACTAACCCCTTTGCTCCAAGGTAAACACTTCCAGGAAGGACCGTGTGCCCATGGGTGAGGACTTCATCCCAGTCTCTGAACTCTTTCCTTCTTCCATCCCCAGTCTCTCCTCTCTGGGCCCCCCGTGGATCCTTGCTTAATTGCTGTCTGGGCTTCCTGAATCCTCTGCATTGTTTCGGTTTCCAAATATTACAGCACAAGCCTTTCCTTCCTCTCTGTGAAAAGTTTGCTGCTGCTGTATCTAATGTGCAGTGCTTTCTTCGATGCGCCTGAAGGCCGCATTCGCCCTTGTAAGCCCGACTTTTCTCACGGTGCCTGTGCTTAAAGACAAGTATTAGACCTCTCCACCCTGGAATGAACTAGTCCCCAGCTGCTTGGACACAAGTCAGAGTCACCATCAGTGTCTCTCTCAAAGATCTTGCCCATAGTTGCACTGGCTGTGCTGCCCAGTTGCCCCTGCTGCCCAGTTGCCCGTTTACACTTCATGGCCATTACTAGTCTTATAATGAATTTACGGTCTAACAGACTCCCCTGGCTGCCTTGGCCACACATTTTTTTAATCTACTGTTTTCCAGGAGAGTGCTCATTATTATGACACCTTGTCAGGACCTGGAGGAAATGGTTTCTAGGATGGGAGGTCTTTTTTCCTGAAAACAACAGATATGCTTTCTCTGTGTTCCATTCTGTTTCTACTTCATAACGTCCCCTATTTATCTGTCTGGCTGACAGAATTTTAATTCCTACATACATCAAAGGCCATATGCTTTCTAACCCCAGAGCACATTTTAAATCCATTAATTTATATTCCTTCCTCCATGTATGGAACATACATACTTTACTTCTCTGTCTCTCTCTGTTTCTCCCTTTCTCCTTCTCTCCCTCTACCTACCGTTTTCTTCCCCTTTCAGATTCCTAAACTGAGGGTCAGAATATCTGGTCTCAAATCTAACACCACTGTATTTCACATATAAGGTTAGACAAATCAATTCATTGTTTTCAGTAGCTGTGAGATTAAATCTAAGTTCTTTACCTTACCAAACTTATGTTTTGTTTTGTTTTAGTTTGGTTTTGGGTTTTTTTTTGAGGCTGAAATGAAGAAGTAAGTTCATTAATTTGGTATTTATTCAACCCTTAATGTTTATCAGGATTTGTACCAGATTCTGGGGTACATTTATGAAGAAGACAAACAAGGTCACTATTCTCATGGCACTGGCATTAGGATTGGGAAGACAGATATTAGATGAGAAAGCAAAGTAAGTGTTGCATGTTGTGGTAGGTGCTTTGAAGGAAGTGATTGGAATGACAGGGAAGATGATACTTAGAGCTGTCAGGAAAAGCCTCTCTGAGGGAGCAATATTGAGAAAGTGATACTTGTGGTCATAATATCTTAGAGAAAGCCTGCCATATACTGAAACATGAAAATACTTTATAAGCTGTAAGATGTTACCTCAATCAGTTGTAGCCCCTTCCAGGCCCCAGTGCAGTAGGGAAGTTAGAAAGCAAAAACAGTTTTTCCAATTTCTAGAGCTACAACTTTGTAGTAATCTCTGTACTTTCTTACACACCTCCATTTTTTTTCATCCAAATCGTTTATCTCTTCCTCCTCTTACGTTTCTGGTTTGTGCTAGCCAGATCTAGGTACTTGCCGTCTGTCCCCTGTCTGTGGCGCTATCTTCCTTAGGCCCACTCTCAGTCCTCCCGGCCACTTTTCCTGTCCTTCCTTCCTGTTGCTTTGACCCTGTGCTGCTCACTCCAAAACTCTCTGCAACTGATTTCCCCTTCTAATAACACTGTACCTCTAAAACCTCGAAGGTTTCCTTGTTACCTCATTTTCAGCAAAACCACCTGTCCTTCATAATATAAGCAACTTCTGATACTCACTTCCAGAAAGAGGGAATATTTTTAGATCTGACTAGAACTAGCCGGCACAGTGCCTAGCACATAATAAGCTCCCAATAAATATTTATGGAATAATGAATGAGTGAATTGATTCTGCTAATCTTACTCAGTCTACCTATAGGATTAAAGTAGTTTTTCCTTAATCACAAATATATTCTTTCCTCACATGTAAAATGCATACAAAAACCTTTAACTTTCAGCTATATAGAATATTAAAATCTTACCTCTTACAAGATTTTTTTCATGTTAAATCTACTCTCTCTATTGCAGTACAGGTGGAATTTTGTCACTGATCCTAGAGACACCTAGAAGCATTGACAGTGTCCCTGAGAATTTTTGTAGTGTTCAACACAGTGTATAGCCACAGATATCCAGCATTTAGTATGCAAATGTTTTTTTTCTAATGATAATAACAGTCACTGAGATTTCAGTTATTTTGGCTTTTTTTTTTTTTTTAGTATCCTGAATAATCAGTTGTATCCACTTAGATTAAACAGAAATTTTTTAAGGAAAATTTTTATATTAGAGAAGTTATGTTTTAGTTAAGTAGCAACTAAAAGCAGTGTTTCTTTTAAAGAATTTTTTCAAATATGTCCACTTTGTATAATATTATTCACCAATGGCAATTGTAATTTAGTCTCAAACAATTCTTAGAGATTTTTCAAAAACGAGTGGAATATTCACTATTTATAGATATATAGGTATGTTTAGAATCACCACTGCCAACTTGTTTCTAGAATTGGATCTTAAGTGTCAAATATTCATGTAAAAGAAATAAATATCTTATTGTGTTTTATCAATTAGAAATAACTTATAAATGATTCTTTAGCTTTAAGCATTCTGTTTATAGTTCTAAAAATATTTAAATAATACCAAAAATAAAGAGTCCCACTGGTTTTTTTTTTGTCGTTGCTTGTATTATATTATTTAATTTAAGAAGTCATATATACCTTATGTGAATTTTTTATTTAGACTAATATAAGGTTCTGACCCATGTGATCAGGAACGACTTTAAAACAATAGTTCAGTATTTTTGCTTTTATATTTGTTGCCCAATGGGATATAACTGTAAAGTGATGGGACAGTCTTCCAAACACACATACTAGAAGTCATGTATCCAAGAGGCCCTGTCCCCTTCAAAGCAGTCGCCTAGGAAAGCTACACATTTGTTCCAGTAATGCGACCATGGCTTAAAATGTTGTGGAATGCCTCTTTTTAAACTGCCTCTGAACTGCTAAGAAATCACCCCAAGACCAACTGCAGTGAATAAAATTTGGAGTGTTATTTGGAGTCACAATTGGATGTAAAATAACACAATGGGCTTTCCTGAGTAATATATAAACTAACTCTTGAAACTGTCAAAGAGAAATCCTAGAACCTTGGACCTTGGAATAAATGTATAAGCTCCCAAGGTAGCTACTATGAAGAATAATACATGTTTAGGTTAAAAAAAATGTGTATATGTTTGCGAAATAAGTTTTATTACTTTATAGACATACCTTGTAGATGAAAATAATACTCCTATCATGGAACTCTTTATAAGCAAACTTCTGAATGTAAGTAGAATTTCTCACCCTTTCTAAATCTGTTGAGAAATCTGAGTTTCTAATAATGACTTATTCCGAACCTTCAGCTTTAAAAAAAGTAATGTTTGCCATTTAAAAAATAGAATAGTTAGGTTTCACTTTACCTTTTTCCAATTAGCTTTGTTACCTCTGCTATTCAATTTTTTATTTACTGTATCCATCTTTGTTCACCCTGAGACTCTCGACATGTATTTTTTCACTGTAAAATTATCATCAAGCTCTTGAACAAAGGTAGAAAATAAAGTCTAAGCTGAAGTTTATTAATTGTTTCATATTATCTTAAGCTCTTCTTTTGCTTGCGTTTGTAACAATCATATGCCTTTAAAAAAAAAAAGTAGGACCCTTATCTTAGTAAATAAGAACATAAAATTACAAAAAGAGAAGTGTCAAATTAAAAATTCAGAAAAATGAATACTCTCAATTTGGGGGCTGCTATTATGTTTTTCATTTCTACTAATAAAAGCTTGAAAAACAGAATTCACCCAAGTGGCTGGACCATTTTTTTCTAACATCAACTCCAGGTAGGCTCATGGACAGCACATGGGGTGGAGCTGGCATGTCCTGCTTCATCAGGCTTTTCCAAATTTATTCCACCACATCCTTCTTCATCCAGGCTGCCAGGCCCCTATTTCTTCACTGCTAAGTTAAAATAATAAAGGTAAAATGGAGCGTGGAAGGCAGAGAAAAATGTTATCCTTTTGCAAAGAGGCTAAGACAGCTAAATTGAGACATAATTTAAACTGTTCAAATTCAGCAGTTTCGATTGGAAAATTATGTGACCCGTGTAGTTAGAGAGCAAAATGGTCACTAGTTTATAGTTTTAAAAAAGTCAAAGTATGGTGTTTTTTTACCTCAGACTGAGGATATTATTTTTTTTATTCTGCCTGGTAGTAACTATTGCACAAATGACTGTTGTTTTGCAGTTTGGTGATTTAAACGCTGTGTCTCCTGGAAATCTGGATAAAGGTAAGAACTGAAAATAATGTACATTTTTAAGAACTTTTTTGACTGAGAAATTTTCATAGAGGAAAATGTAGTTAATGTCCATGGCACTCTTACTTTGTGGAAATGGCATGCGACCCCAGATGAATATGACAGTTATGTCTTTTGGAACTCTTTATTATTTCTTTGTTTCTATGTTTTATGTAAGATACCTCAAATGAAATAATTAAATTTGAATGCAGTTACAAACTCATTTTTACTTTTTGCCTGAAGTTTATTGCAAGTAACAAGAAAATATTTCTGATCATCACCAGAGTCCTAGAGAAAAGTGATAAAATTGGTCCAAATATTTTTATTCAAGGCATACCAGGCAAGAAAAAAAGATTCTTAAGCCTACTCATATAACCACTTCACCCTTTTTAGTGGAAAAAGAACTCAGAAAGGGCAAGGTCAATAGTGGTAAATAGGAAAAGGATGACATATATAATTCTTAAATTTTAATGTTAGCTTTGCCACTCTAATATGACAACAGGATATACATTCCTGAAGAACTTCATAATCTACTGAACCATAGAGTAAAGAAATAGGACTTAGCAGAAGATGAGGTTGGAATAGAGCACACACAAACAAAAACAAACCTATAAAAGTATCAGCCCAGTTTTTTAAAAAAATGTAAAATTTCTAATAAACAAGCTCTGTAGAAAATATAGGCCTTTCTTCAAAAAAACAACAAAAAAAGTGAAACTATCTTGAGGTTTTAAGGAATTGAGTTCTGGAGTCAGGGACAGAATGCACAAAGACCAGGGAAAACTACACAGTTAGGACAGAGCCAGAGAAAGTGGGGAAACTGAGGCAAGAGGAAGGACTTGGGGAATCTGCACATGAGTGCAGTGCTGTTCTCGAGCATCGTGTACTAGGGCAGTGGTCCCCAACATTTTTGGCACCAGGGAATGGTGCTCCTATGAGAATCCAATGCCTGATGATCTGAGGTGGAGCTGAGGCAGTGATGCTAGCACTGAGGAGTTGCTGCGAATACAGATGAAGCTTCGCTCACTCCTGCTGCTCACCTCCTGCTGTGTGGCCCAGTTCCTAATAGGCCACAGACCAGGATGTGTCCACAGCCCTGGGGTTGGGGACCCCTGTACTAGGGTACTCAGTGTCCAGCTCCTGGGCCTCCTCGATAATGGAAAACATTAATATGCTGGGGAAAGTCATTATGAAGCCACTTCACTCCCATGCTGAACTCTTGTCAGTCTTTCTTTACCAATTGTGCATGCACTAATTCCTGTTAGAGTACATAGTACATAGTAGCAAAGCAGGAATAAAAGAAAATGATAGTCCAAAAATCTTGTTGCTGCAAGTATATACTCTATAGGATTAACCAAATAACCATCAGACAAGTAAATCAATGATGATACTAATCTGTAACTTCAGAGCAAGTGTGGTGGCATTTGAAACCTATGTCCAAGATAAGGTAACCCCAGTAGCTCACTGGCACCAAAGCCTCATAGTCCAGGTTTGGGGATTTCACCCCTGAGTGCCCAGAGGTGTATAGTAGGAGTGTTATCACTTGGCCAAACACTGGCCGTCAGCCAGTCTTCTTTGTACAGTGCTCAATCAAAACAAAGTCTTCAGTAAACTCCAGAAGCACCTAATTTTAGTTTGTGTACCAAGTTTCCATACCATGAGTAGGTTTCTAGAAAATGTCTTTATAGTTGCACAAAATGTCTGTGGAATTGCCTTATTTGCCCATAGGAACTGGAGAAGGGGCTTGCTTTTGTGAATTGCTTTGTAACCTATCCAAAAGAGCCTGGTCACCCACAGGGTCCCTGAAGAAAAGTGGCCCAGAGCCCTGAAGTTTGTTCAGTCCATTGTCTCATCGCCATTTCCATCCACAACAGGGTAGAGGAAAGGAGCTTCCTCACTCTCTTTCACTTGCCTACCTGCTTGAAATGATTTGTTTCCTTTCACCGCTAGGTCTTTTATCATTTTGACACTGTTTCTCAGGCACAGGAAGGTTGATGGAGAAGGGAGCCTCATAGCAGTGTGATTTTATCTCACCCTGTTTGTGTGGCTCTGCTGCTCTCATTCACCCCCAGACCCGATGCTTTTTGAGATATGGCCAAAGTGGCATAATCAGAGCCTAAGGCTTAAATGTGAAAACTTCAAGAGTTTTTGTGTTTTTCCTGATAATAAAAGTAATATTATCTCTGTATAAAAATTTCAAATAACAGAGAATTAGAAACTGTAGAAAATGAAACTTAATAGTCACAACCCTAAGAGACTTCCACCATTAAGAATTTAGTGTGAAGATCCTTCCAGATATATATATTTTTTGTTTCTATATGTAAACAAATACATAAATAAAAAGTATCATACAAACATGTTTCAATTATACCCTCTTGGTGAAGCAAATATCTACCAAATGTACTCCTCACCCTGCAGCCAACCAGCCCTTCCAATGCGCTCGTTCTGACAAAACTAATATTATCATCAAGTTCATTGTCCAGAGGCAAAAAAGTAACCATATAAAATAGATGGGCCAAGAAATCTTTTGCCTCATCTGAGTTCTTCTTTGTTTATCACTTAATGATGCATTTAACAGACATCATTTCTAGTCAATAGATCTAATCTTAACCTTTTTAATTAATGTATACCTTTTCACAGGAAATTTTGCTCCTGGCAACGTGTACTGCATAACCATAGGTAGTTACTCCTAGTCACTTTTCTCTGGAACTTTCTTTGGTCCAGTTGACAGTAAGAGAAGTCAAGGGTCCCCTTTATATCAAGAATTACATTAGCAGGGAATTCTGAGGTAGGCATGGTGAAAGTAGACTCAACACCCTTGAGAAAGAGTCCAACTTAATCTGACTGAAGAGCTGCTTTTACATGATATGCCGCAAAAGAGAACATCAGAGAGACCTGATTCTGTTTATATAAGTCACTATAAAAAGTCAAAAATATAACAAGTGTAGATATATTTTAGTTATAGATGAGATATTTGATGTGATTATATGGGCATCTTTTTTTGATAAACAGTCAAACGTTGAAGGCGAAATAAAAAGATTTTTAAGGCAGAAATATATTGCCCACCGTATAAAAATTATCGCTTATGAAGAGGTATTCTCTACACTCTTCTGTAGAGAATCTTACACAATAGTAAAGCTATGTGTGAGCATTTTCTCTCTCTACTTTTGAATTTTAACAGTGCATGCTGGAAAAAAATTAAATGGTATTCCATTTTAATGATGTTTTAGTTAATATAAAATGGATTAAAATTGGGAGGTAACAGTGACTATTTAATACATTTAATTTCCAGAAATGAATACTAGCTATTAACAGTGAGCATTAGTGTTGCCAGGAATGGAAATTCATTGCACATTTTTAATCTGATACTACTGCCTCGGTCTTCACAATTTTTGTAATAAAAATTAAAGGCCTATTTAATATTGCAACCTACAACTTTCTTGTGCACCAAAAAGTCTTTACAACAACCCCTGCTTATACATGCTTTAGTTATGTTATGAATCAGCACAGGTCTCACCTATATTAACATCAACACAGATGCAATTTACACCTAGTATAGATACTTGGAAAAGACTGAAAATTTTCTTTTTTCAATCCTTCCTATCTCCTTCCCTCCTTTCTTATTTTAGTTAGCAATTTTCAGCTCAGTGCATTCCCCAAAAGCCAGCACAGTGTACCAAAGTGACTACTCTATAATGACACAAATTATTCCAGTATTCAATATGAAAAACTTTAGGAAATTCCCAGGTCTTCTTAAAAGAACTATTAAAGGTATCAATCACAAACTAACTAAAAATAAATGATCTTTACTATGTTTGAAAGAATTGTAGATGCGTTAACAGAGCATCAATACAAGTAAAATCCATTGAAAAGCAAACCTACAAGCTTTTTCCTCTGATAAGAGCTAAGAAGTTTCTTAGTATACTGTAATAAAGTATTTCAAAACACATGTTGATTGCCATCTTCCAATTTGTCTTTTGATAATAGTCTTGGTATTATTTGTGTGTGCAGATGAAGGCAGCGAAGTGGAAAGTGAAATGGATGAAGAACTAGATGACTCTTCAGAACCTCAAGCCAAAAGAGAGAAAACGGAGCTGAACCAGGCATTTCCAGTGGGTTGTATGCAGCCTGTTCTCGAGAGCAGTGTGCAACCGAGCCTCCTGAATCCAATTCACAGTGAGCACATCGTCACGAGTACTCAGACTATCAGACAGTGCAGCACTACAGGAAATACCTACACTGCAGTCTAAAGAATATTAAAGTGTATTTTTCCAGCTAACATTAATCCTGTTGATATTGGGCTTAAGTCAAAAATTTAATAAGCCTGAAGGACGACTGTTGTCAAATTTTATCTGTGCTGAACATTACCTTTTTGGAGTTGTGAAATGGAATGGGTGTATGTGTTTTGCCAGGTCTTTTTTTTTTTTTTTTTTTTTTTTTTTAATAATTAGGGGATATCCCAAAAGGAATGAACAGATACATTGTGATCTCTTAGTTTCAGGTGTCAAGAAGGATTTTTACAACACAATGTTTTTGTTTTCTTATAATTAAAAATAATTTACATTTTTTGTAGCTTAAAATATTTTACTGTTGGTTGTTAGTCTTGGTGTATGATTTCATGTGTAAGTTTTTAATTAGATGCACTTCTGTGAAATATCAAAAGAAATGAATTTCTTTGATTTACACTGGAGGCATGCCCATTTGGCAGCAGATGCATCAAATTTGCTTTTGAAAGGTGCTTTATATTGGACAGAACCACAAGACACTATTTTGATAACATTTTGGAGTATGGAGAGAGAATACAGAGCATTTTTATTATAGTGCTAGAGGGTTGGGAAGGTCATCTATTTTTCTCTGAAGAAAAATTGAGCTGTGCATTTATCAGTTCAGAGTAAATGACAGAATTGCAAGAGATTATGCTAATATGTACATAATTTGTGTACATAATTATTAAACCATGTTAATGCAAGCTTCCGTTAAACATTGAATTTTAACTGTTATTTGCATACCAATTCCTCTGTTTAATGACTACTGATTCTGTATTTGGGACCACTGCACAGATGCATTCTGCTGTTGAGTGGGGCTGTTATAGTTAGATACTAAAGCTGAAAAAATGACTTGACTTTTTTTTTTTTTTTTAAGTGTACATGCTACTTATGCTGAGCTGGACATACAGGAAACCATTCCATTTGGATGACTTTCTTTTATTCCAGGTCTTATTCCTAATAGTAGTTCAATATGCTGCTATTATAAAAGAAAATTTATAGAATGCAAGGAATGTAGCAACCTGCATGTTGTTATTTCCTTCAAAAATATTTCCTGGTTTCTAAAGTATGTGGATTTAAATTTTAAACAGAACCTAAAGGCAGTGTAACTGGCACACCGCACTGTTGCTTATCCCCAATTCTGTAGGATTTGGATAGGTGGCTGGATGGACCAGTGCCATTGAAGAATGTACATCAGGGATCATCGTACCTCGGCTATTACATGGTGCCTTAAAACAGAACTGAAGCTAAGGTTTAGTAAGGCTTATTTAGTTCATGTGAATTCTTCTTCAATCCATTTGACAAGGTGTGCCTGTCATTTTCAAATTCCCGAAGTAAGGACAGGTTACGTGTTCTTCAAAGGAAATTTAGGGCAAACAAAGCGAAACAAAAAGACAAAAAGTCAGTTTCCCTCTTTGAGTGACCGTGAACCTATTTTTTGTTCATAGAGCTGAATATTACTTGGTTACAAATCAGATTGCTTAAGGATATGGAAGAGCTGGCTAGTTTTTAATTTGTTACATAAAATCATGTATGTTTTAGACCGTTCTTATCTAGTTATAATTTAAGAAAGTTAACAAAATTAGTAGGTACTTATTGAAGTGCATCTTTTCGATCTAAATATTTGTATGTGTGTCTCGGTGTCTGTGTGTCCACATGCACACGTGAGTGCCCTCCAGCAGGAGTCAGCTATAAACGAGAAGGAGAGATCCTAGAGTGGATACACCCATCCCCATTTTAATTGACATGAAGAGCCCAGGTTCTTTTAAGCACTCAAATTATTAACAACAACAACAAACACAAAAAACAGGCACATCCATTCATTTAAATAGTTCTAAAAAAAGCTAATCAGCAAAAATAAATACATAAAGCCAAAAAAAAGGGAAAGCACAAAATGATTTACAGATTATTAATGAGGCCTGTAGTAAACTCAAGATATTTATCTTTACAGTTTTATCGGGATGGTGGGTGGGGGGGTGGAAAGAAGGGGTGAGCCAATCTGTAAAGTTAAAAATACCAAATGGCTTATCGAGTAATACGCAGTGTATTTCAACTTGTTGCTCGATTGCCTTAGAACTAAGATCAACAAAGTTTCTTAAGTAAACTTTAAATGTTTTAGACGTAATTTTAAAAATTGATTCAAATTTTGTATTATACATCTCACTCATATATTTGAAATTCTCTATAGCTCATCACCTTCATTTAAATATCATTTAAATGATCATCCCTCTATTTTTTTTGCCAAAAAGGCAATGGCTTTGCACCATCACACATACACACAAAGGCAAACAAGCAAACAAAGCACCTTAAGTTGCAAAGACTTATATCTACTTCATTGTACATTAGAAAACATTTACAGATACATTTAAATCAAAAAACGAAAAAAACACTTTTTGTTTTGATCTCCTTTCTGAACTTTTTACTTCCTCCCATATCTACCACCTCCAGAGCTATGCTATATCTGTATTGGACCAAAAGTATTTCCTGGTTTCATCTTGTTTATGGAACAATTTTAAATATATTTATTATCATTATTTCCTTTAATTTAATGTTGAATATATTTGTATTGTTAGAGGAATCTGATGATAATGGGCAAATTTAGATTAATGAAAGTCAGCTATTGGGGATCCTCCAGGATTCAACATTTCTTCCAGTTGTTCATGGTTTATTCTGAATTTGGACAGATTAGTAATTAATAAATATTATTACATTTCAACTTGACTCACTAAAAATATTCCGATCTCCTTTATGAACACAAGAACATTAATTCTTTGTGACTAGTGTAGATAGTCCTGACCAATAGACAAAATGACATATATGATCTATGCTTCTAGTTGTTTGTAGTCCACAGTAAGACACACATACATATATGCAATCACAAACATCTTAACAATTTTGAATTTGAATTCAAATAAATATTTTCTAATAGTGAAGTATATTAGAAAATAAAAACATAATTTATACATTTGAGCAAATTAGAGCAATTACATTTATTGCATTTATTGAACATTTTATTACCATTTGTTCATTCATTGAAACTGTGACTTTCCTAATTATATTAGACACTAAAACTCTCAGTAGATTTATTGACAAGTGACAGGGACACATTTGAAGAACTTCTTAATATTTCCTACCATTGTAATCAAACACACTAGTCATGAAAAATATCTACATAGACCAAGTGCTATTCTTTCAGTGAGGAAAAAATGTGAGGAAGGTATGTGAGTATTTTTAAGTTTTAGAAAAGATATTTCCATTTAATAGGATTGAATATCGTGAGTGTAATTCGATCTTCACATATATTTTGAGAATCATACCAAAAGATTTGCATTGATGAAGCCAGTGAACAATAGGGTGAAATGGGTGAACCATCTCCTTGGAACACAGAGCCCAATTAAAAAAATTTTTTTAGATATTAAGTGGCTGGTCACTTTTTCAGGATTCTCATCCAAACTATGTTTGGACTGACTGTATAAGTCTTACTGCCTTTTCAGAAATCTGCTTTCCTTTTTGTGCTTTTTCTTGTACTGTATAGCACGGTTCATGCACCTCTTTTTAGATGGTGTACTTTAAAAACAAAAGTAATTTTAGAAAACGGTTTTAACACTGCATACCTAAAATTAGTAGTGTGCAACATTGACTGCCTTTGATTTGTAGTAGACAAGTAAAAATGAACACGTTCTTGTAGAACGCTGTCAGAGTCATTCAGGAATGAATACGGTTTCATTACCGTAATCATGAACCTTTTTACATGAATGCACTTCTCTAAAAGTGCTAAACGTGATGCATTTTCAAATTAAAAAAAAAAAATTCTTCAGACGATGTATTTGAAATGTCTAAAATAACGCTGTGCTTGAAATATTAGTGTAAAAGAAAAAAATGTGTGTCACTGTGATGTTGGTCCTCCCTGTGTGGACACAAGTAGAAAGTTAAAATCTTTGGTAAGTCACCTATATGTACAATTTGAGGCAGTGGTTATATATAACAAACTGATCTTTGTTATAACCTCCCCTCCCCCAAATTCATGGTGAAAAAATAACAAACATCAAAATATTGAAATCAGACCTTGTGATTTGTATGAATCACACTAGAACATGGGGGAGAGAGGTTGACATGCAGTGCTATTGAAAATTGGGCTTGTCACTAGATCAGATCAACCTCCATGTATGTGGTTAGAACAAATCAATTAATGGAATCCTAGTATTTCTGCAAATTCGGTGATTTTTTTTTTCAAACTGGAATAGAAGCATTAATTCAGTGCTTAGTTCTAGTACTAGAAAACCCCTTTGATGTAATGCCTTGTATTAACCCTTTGAGCATTGTAAGATATACAATGGGGGACAAAAGCCTTTCAGATCGTTTATTTAGACTTAGACCGGTAAAATATACTCTATATCCAAATGTCTAATTATGCTGTTTTTTTAAAGGGGGGGTAGGAAGAGGAAGTGTTTCCATGCTGAACACTTGCATTTTATATACAACTCTTAATTTTCTTCAAGAGGGCTTGATATATTTATTCCCAAATATTCACTGCCATCTAAGTAAGTGTACTGTTTACAGAAAAAAAAAAATCAACTTTTCTAGCATCACAGCATGACTCTAGAAAAGGAGGACAATACATAGGCCTGTAGACCTATGTCATAACCGATCTCTGCACATTGAAAGTACCTAGATTGCCTTTAAAAGGTATGATAAAGAAAGGGTTACATTTTTTTTTTCCCAAAACAAAACAAAACAAAACAAAAGATTTCATTTATTTAGCTTTAGAAAGTTCAATGTCAGTGAAGCCTTAGGAAGAAATGAGTTCAAGTGGATAAAGAAAAGCTGAACTCTTTGGGGGCAGGTAAGCTATTTGGAGTTAGATCTCATAACATATTGTTTGGGAATTTCATACAGGGCATAATTTTATCTATGCTCCAAACTTTAATACTTTGTCAAAGAATTATATCTAGATAGAATGGAAAGCAAAGCACTTGATTTTAAGCTCATCTGTCAGGAGATGCTATGACTACTGCTTCTGATATCTGTAAATGCCAGTATGCTTATACAATTTCTGACTTTATTCAAGGGACGCTCTGCGTGCACTGGACCCCTCTGTCCCCTGCGTGATAGAACATGAGAGCAGTGTCGTCTGCAGATGTGCTTGCGCTGCCCTAGCCAGGCGTAAATAAGAGTGTAACCTATTTCAATGTCTGGTGAAAGGACATTCATAAGCCTAGTGCAAGTTTGCCGTAAACATTGCTTTTTGGGCAGTTTAGGAAGTCAAACCATGCAAATTACTCATGTGTTAACATGCAATACTCAAAGGGTTTTAATTTAATTCTCTTCTTTTGAATTCTTCATGATGATTTACTGTAAATGCTTCTCAGTTTGCATGCTCTGATCATTGCTGCTAGTGATTTTATGTGCCAGTAGACCTGAGTTTAGTTTACCAATTTTACTTAAATAGTAAAAGCCACTTACAAAGTGACTGCCTAGGATTTTTTTCTTTTGTTTGAAGTAATTGGTAATAATGTCATTTTCAAAACTGTTTTGTCTCTTCTTTTATTGATTATGGTATTTGATTTTTTTTCCCTCTTTCCTTTGTTTTTAAAATAAATTATGATGTTGGGATTGGAAGCCCTGAGTAATGAAATCTTTGGTAAGAATTGTTTATGTAGCTCAATAATGAGGACAATAAATCTTTGTTAGAAGAATTATGATTCTGGGGAGGAAAGAAAAAATGAAAACTCCCATTGACTGTTGAACAAGTAAATTCTTTAAAGAATTAATAGTTTTGAACAAATGATTGCCTTGTTTTAACCTGCTAACCATAATTTCAAATGACTCAATAAAGGAAGTATTGAATTTTATTCATTTAAAAAGCATCTTTTGTACCAAAGCAAATTTTTTTCTCTACTCATCTCCATCATCAATTGGGACCTATGGTGGTGACCAACGTGTTAGTTACAGAAACTTTAAGTGAGTGCCTTGAGAAAACTTGGAAATTTGTGCCTGGGGTGGTAAACTTTTAATTAGGTTAATTGTAGTGCTTACCAATCAGTAATTCTACTATCACTCAGGGCTTTCGTACCTTCTAGGTAAAACTTCTTTCATTGTGTTTTTTTAAAATACTGTATTTTTTTTTAAGTGCCATCATTTAAATTTCACTTAGTAAGTGGCAGATTACATTATTCAGTCCCACAAGCACAGAAACATAGTAACACTAGGAGATATTTGAACATTTATTTTACAATCGACTGAATATATTATGTAAATGAGGTAAGCAACTTTTGTAGAGATTGTATGTGTGAGATAATGTAATGTTCTTTTCCAGTTTTTGGACTACAGTTGAATAAACTTTTTAATTATTTAAAAACATCTTTACCGAATAACATGTGATGGTTTTTTGTATAATGTATTTGATTTTGTAAATACGTATTTCCTGATGTGATTTTTGTGAGAAATGCTAAATCTTTTAGTATATCATGTCCTCTCAAAATTGGCAGGAGCTAAATAATAGTTTGTGGGCGATTTGTATTGTGTACTGTACAATAACTGGGGAACTTTTATAATTATAAAATATATATTAACTTTTAGTGTGTTGTTTAAACAAATGACTGGAACATACTAAAGATAGTAGGATTTTTCTGAATATTTCAGACTTGAACTCAGGCTAGCTTTCTTGTGTTTTTCAAAACAAAATGGTGTCTTGTCTTTTAAAATCAATAAATTTGTTTCCTTGTTACAAATAAATTTGAAATGGCTTCATTATTTTCCCCTCAAATCAGTGCCAGGAAGCTTGTATTGCATTACCTCATGTAGAAGGTAGTCTCTTTGTCGTTAACTAGCTTAGAAACAGAATTAAGTTGTTTTTCTTTTTTGTGTCAAATGAATTTGGCAATATTTACACATGAATAGCACAAAAAGAGAAAACAGAATTATAAGCCCAGCAGGATACAAATCTTACCCTCAAAGAAAATTAGTGATTGAGTGCTGTTTAATTTCAGAAGCTGTCAACATTTCCATTGTAAATCCAGATTTTTGGATGTTCATAGTGTGTGTGTTTTTTGTCACTTCACATTGATATTTGGCACTCAAGTTCCTTGCTTACTTAGGTTGAAATAGCTTATTAAAAATTGTTTTAATCCACTTAAAAAGATACCATGCCCAATTTTTTTCCTTCTTTGAATCATATAATTATATACAGGAAAATTCACCCTTTTGAGTGTATATTTCTGTGAGTTTTAACAAACACAATCATATAACGACTACCACAATCAAGCTTAAAACATTTTTTACCTTGCAGACTTTTTTTTTTCAAATTATAGTAATTGTAAGGCCTCCTCCAAGAATATGGAATAACCAGTTCATTTGGGGTTTCTTTCTTTCTTTTTTTTTTTTTTATTGACTATATTCCCTGTGCTGTACTCTATATTCCCATGAGTATTTTGTAGCTACTAATTTGTACTTCTTCATCCCTTCACCTTTTTCACTCAGCCCCTCAACTCTGTCCCCTCTGGCAATTTAAAGAGAAATTCAAGACAGAAAAATATCCTTTTGGTAGTCTCCAGCATGGTGCTTTTATATCATAGTATAGAGTTATTTCTGAAACAAAATTATTGACATCTTAGCCCACAGAAACACCAAATTCATTCTAGCTTATGTGAACATTTAATCCAGTAACATAGAAATGTACCAAATAATGTCATTTAATAAATAAAAGGAAGATATACAGAATTATAGCCAGTATTAGAGGCAATACCATAATAGAAAATGAATGACCAATTTATGTATTTTTATGTTGTAGCCATCACCACTTGTGAGATATTTGAAACTTTATACAAAAAAATAGAGTTCCTGGTTTCTATCCTTATTTTTGTTCTTGGTTTCTCTTGGAACTCTGAGGTCTTTCAAATACATCTTATAATTAGTGTGTTTATTCTTTGGTTACAATGTTCTTCCCACCATGGGTTCTTAATATTAGTTTCTTCTCCCTTGGAATTTGGACATTTCAAAATTTGAACTTAGCCTGAGAAATGTAGCTGGTTTTCATTAACTGATTCATTTCAATCCACTAAATATTTTTCATTATGGTCTAAAAGTGATGCGTGTAGAAATTTGTCAGTTGGCTGAGACACAGATTGTGTGTGTGTGTGTGTGTGTGTGTGTGTGTGTGTGTGTGTGTGTGTAACATCATAATAAGTAGAGTGGCTGCCATATTGCTGAGGATAATGTACTTTAAAATTGAGAGAGTGGCGCAATCCACTGCTTCTGACCTGTCTGCCCTCTAGCGTAATGTCTGGGCCAGGAGGAGGAGTCACTTATCCTTACAGGAGCTGGGTGGTAAGCAGCCTGGTAACTTTCCCATGCTGATGAGACCTGTTTTGCATCAGTTTATTGCTAGCTTTGAGATTGGAAAATACAGGCATGACTGGGACCTAGGAAGTTGTGTCTGAGTTGTCTCAACACAAATATACAAGTAATTTAAATATAAATGTATGTGTTAAGTTAGGTTTCTGCCTTTCACTCCAACACTTTAATATAAGCAAATGAGCGAAATCTGGGCGCAATCCACTGCTTCTGAGCTGAGCCCTGGGGCAGGTGAGTCAGCGTGGGAGACCTTTAAGGTCATTTTTGTTTTGTTATAGACTTGTAGGCCTGTTGGTTTTTAAATGTCTTATATGTTTTGGGGGCTTGTCTCTTCAGTGCAGGTCTTAAAACTTGGGGTGCCTGCTGTGACGTACAATCTGTTCCTCAGGGAGAAGCGCCAGGCCTTAAGTTCCCTCCTGATTGTGGGTTGCAGTGCCGGGGGTGAAGTTTTTGGTGAAACTGTATCCCAGTCTTTCCTAACCTCTTAGATGTTTTTTTTTTCCTTTGCCTAACATGTTGGAGCTGCTCAGCCAGGCTTTAGGTTTTTCTCAGAGGAAACTGTTTCGTATGTAGCTGTAGATTCAGTGTGTCAGTGGGAAGAGGTGAGTTCAGGACCTACCTATATCACCATCTTGAACCAGAACCCCAGGGACCTCTCAATCTTGATCACTACAGAATATGCAGTGTGTAGCACAGTACCTGGTATATAATTTAATCAACAAATATTTGTTTATGAATAAAGGAACCAATTCTTTTGTGATTATACCATTTTAAGGTTGATTGTTCTGCTATTACTAATAATTCTTAATGACTCCTCTTAAATGTTTTATCTAGGCATTTATCTATTTTTCCCATACACATATATTCTCTGCACACATTTCTAGAAGCCAAATGTTGGGGCCAATACATTGCAAAAATTTTTTGAAACGTTGCTGAATTCTACCTTGAAATCTTGAACCAATTTACAATTTCTTCAATAGCTCAAATCAAATCACTAGAAGCATCTTATATTTATTTAATCTGGTACTGCCATTTTACAGGCAGAGAAATCAATATTTCAAAAAATCCTAAATAATCTGGCAAACTGATTTCTCAGCACATAATATTTGATTATTTGGAAACATTTCCTCAGCATTTGCCATATTAATTATAGATGCACTTTGAGCAAATAAATATTTTATACCTCAAGTGATCATCCTGAAGTTAACCTTGGAATATGGATTACAAATATAACACTAAGCACTTATGTTAACATATCGTTACATCTCTGTTATTTTAACTGTAACCCATAAACATACCTATTCTCAGAACACTTTATTATGTTTATTAAATAGGAAAACTTGTCTTTAAGTTATGAAAAAAATTTTAAGATCCTTCTGAGCTAAAAAATGCCACATAATCCCACCAAGCTGAAAAGAACCCATTTCTTTCAAATGTAGAATGGATAAAGAAATTACAGGCTATTCATATAATGAAATATCATATATTAGTGAATTAAACCAAGTATAAAAGCAATATAATAAATCTCACAAATATTACATGGAAAAAAGCCAAACATGAAGGAATACATGTTACATTATTCCATTTATAAAGTTCAAAACCATGAAGTAGTATATCGTTTACCAAAATACTTGTAGTTAGAAAAGAGCTGGAGGTTTTGGGATGGTAGCAACATTCTATTTCTTGATCTCTGTAATGGTTATCTGTATATTTGCTTTGAGATAATCTATTGTGCTGATAAAGTTAAAAGTAGTCTGGTTCCAGAATTACCTTTCTAGCAGAGTTTAATGGCTTAAAACCCCAAATCCACTCAACAGATTTCTAAAGCCTGGGAAGCTTTTAACCTATGCATTTCTACTGAAAGGCGTCCCAAATACTGAGTTCCAGCTTTACTTTCAGCACATTAGTTAATGATGTCTTGAACCAGAAGTAGCCATGAAATGTTTATGCTTCAATAATCAAATGAATGATGCCTACCTGATTTCTTACATCTTATTACAAAGAATATTCTTAGCATTTATTTGTTAAATCAGCTTGACCAAATATATGGTCAAGCTGATTTAACAAATAAATGCTAAGTATATTCTTTAAAAAAAATCTCTGGGTGCCTGATAAGAGTAAATGATACAATCTCTAACAGGACATTTTAGAAAGTCTCCCAAATTTACAAGCTGTCTCTATTCTGCGGAAGTATTCTGCTCAGTATTTTTCCACTTTGCCCAAATGGCTATTGAGATGATTCACATCAGCAGCTCTGTGGTTTAGAAGAGTCCCGTGATCTTCAGGATACAGAGGCCTCAGTACGACACCTGGCAGCAAACCAAGACCACAGAATGTGTCTAGGGTGAAAACTTAAGAAACAGCAGATACCACGGGCAGGCGATCACACTGTTTGTATTGCAGAAATAGGGCTGTTTATCTGCTTGATAGGTGTGCTATCACTGCAATATGCTCAATCATAGGCAATTAAACTTAGGATGCCATATGGCCATCCTGAATGATTTGCAGAATCCAAAATGCCACACAACTTAGGACCAGTGTAACAGCAAGTTGTGCTCTTGCATAAAAATGCTTTTGCTATGCAGTGTTATACAAATGTAGGAGCCAGAGAGTGGACACTCCCAGGGCTTGCTCACCCCACTTTTCTAGCCACCCTTGTCCTTGCTGGTCCTTAATTTTGAGCCAATGGAAATGTCCACACTCACTGTCCTCCCTCCTCTCTCACTCTATGGCAGCTTTTATTGAACTCTATTTTCTGATACTAGAACATTTCAATATCTTTTTAGAGGCCCAATTTCTTCACAATAGTCTGCAGATAGATGCCTGAGTCCTAACATCTGATTTTACAAGGTGTCTTCTGGGGGAGAACATACCTGTATTGCTATGTTCTGCTGGAAGAACCTAGAATATTCTGAAGTATCACCATCAAACAGCTTCTTTTCCATGAATAACAGTCTATCTGGATCTGGTCCAAAGCGGAGTATCATTAGGAGTTAAAAAAACTGAACCCTTTTTCATAAAATAGTACAGTAAAATCATACAGAAGTATATGTAGTAACAAAAAGTTCCTCCTCCCAATCCAATTCTGTTTCACAAAGGTAACAGCTATTCAGTTTTCTGCTAACCAGAATAATGGGAACTGGAAATAGAGATTAAATTAAAAAAAAAAAAAAAACTTTTGTAACAGAATTGAGTTTATGGGTTGTGAAATTTATATCCACTAGACTAAATTTCCTGAGTCAGAGCAATGACCCAATGCTCCTGTAAGTGGCATACCATTTCTCCAAAAATTCAGCACATTTCAAAGTTTTTGTTTTTTGTTTATTTGGATGTCTGATTTATTAGGAAGACTGAATGTGTTCAATTTTGTCTGTGGCATCAAG